TTTTTTAAATATTATTAATCTTTACATTAAATTTTATTAATTTATTAATTTAAAAATTTTATTAAATTTTTTAATAAAAAATTTACAAATTTTTTTTTAAGTCCCAAACATCCGGAACGATTGGAGCACCCCAAAGTCATTGCCAATTTCCGATCTGGACACTGAGAAATTATTGATGTAACAATATTCAAGTCCAAACCAAAAAAAGTAGCTTGAATGGCCCAACGTTGATCACTTAGGCCCACGGGTCCGTATCCAAAGATTAAACTTAACTTGCAACCGCGGAATGGAATCACCCTGCCCTGCGTTGTTAAAATCTTACCTTCGTAATAATCCTGGATGTCTTGCGGATCATAGAGAGTGCAGCCGAGTGTTATTTAAAAGCAATATGAGCTAACGGTTTCGCCAGAATGTACGTATCAACCATCTTCATATTTTGCATGTATTACCCATTTCATATAGTATTTAGAGTTGTTTTAAAAAGTAGTAGCAGACAAAGGAAATGGAGCAGTTACTGAAGCATTCTATACATGTTTGATGTGATGCTTTTGTAAGGATTTAGAATTGCCTGCTAGAATTAGGTGGAAAACTGTTACAAGCTTTGGTCTCTCATTGACGTTACTTCTTTTGAGGCTCGTAGGTGTTGTTTTACAGGGGAGGGGAGTGCTTTGTTTCTTTCCAGGGCTTGATGAGAAGCCGAATGGCGGATAGATTAGAAGAGTTACTATCAAATATGGGGAAGAACTTAAGAAATAACCCTCGATGAGCCATTTTACTCGTCTTAAGAGCCGTTGCCTTATTACATATATATAAGCTAGCTTCCTACTAAATTAATACTCATCATCCCACTTTTGTCGAGAGAGAGAGCATAAAGAAGTTTTTAGAGTCGATTAAAATGTTTTATAATCATGAAAAACTTCTCCAAACATTTCATAAGCCCTAGAAAATGGGCCAAATACAGGAGGGAGGAAAAGGAGGGAAGGAAAACTACATAGAACAGTTGACAGAAACATCAATAATCACATAATCATGGTTACATCAATATCGTTCACTACTAAGCACTCTCCCAATAGTCTCTCATCTTACAAGTCATAAACTTGTTTCCCAGTGAACTTAACTTCAATGGGACTGACATTTTTCCCAATTGATCTGAAGTTCTGCCCCACCCCTTGACGACCTGGGTTCACTTTCTCAGGATAAACTCCATCTTTGGGGTGAAGGTATTGAACCTCACCGTTAGGGAAAACCCTGTAAAATTGGTACTTGATCTTGTACTTAGACCTCAGTCTAGTACCAAGTGCCAAACACTGCTCTTTCCTGGCCAACTTCAGCAAGTTAGGTCCTTGCCTCATGATGGCTGCTCCTCCGGTTGGCATCTCGAAGATTTGTTCTTTGGGTGAATCCCAAGTGATGACGTAGAATTCTTCAACTTGGGCCTTTCGCAGCAGTCCTCCAGTGCTTCCTCCAAAGATGGGTGATGGGGTATTCGGGTCCAATTCTGGAGGGGTGAAACCAACTGGTGCTTCCTTTGTGGCAGCAGATGCCTCATCTGCAGCCGCAGCCCTAATGGTTCTCTGAGACATTGAGAAGTTGAGGGACTTGGGGGTAGCGAATGAAAATGATGAGGATGGCTTCCATGGAGCCAGAGATTTTGGGGCGGTGATTGTGGGGGTGAAGAGACCTGCTTGAGTTGCCATAACGATGTAGCCGATGGATGTTGAGCTGCAATTGGGCGTTGTATGTTGTGCTGCAGTTGGGAGTTTGTTTTTGTTGATGTTTTGGACGGCGGAGTTTGGATTAGATTTTTGGATAAGATGACATTGCTTGGACCAATAGGATGCTTGATTTTGACGTTTGGTCTTACCCGAGCCTAGTTCACTGATATCCAATAAGTTTCTTTTGATATCCAATGTACACAACATAGAGGCGCTACGTAGCGGCGAGAATTAAGCCTCATCCAGTTAGCAACAATTCAAAATAATAATCCAATTTAAAATGCTTGGTATTCTCTTGCATTTGCATGTTACAGTTAAAATTTTCATTTAAGCCTCTGGAATATAAACCTAAAAAAATACAAGTGGTAAGTTCTAAACAATTGCTTTCCTTTGAGTCTTGTATTCCCAACAGAAACACATTCAAGCATAATGTTGCATGAAACGTCAAGTAAATGATAACTAGGTCTCCTTTGAAGCCGGCATTAACAACCTAAGCCCGTCCTCTGAGGAAGTACCCCCAGAAACCTTCTCCTCTGCGAGCAGTGACTGTAAGTCACTACCATTAGCCAAGCTATTGAACTCAACAGCTTTAGATGGAAGAGTAGGATAACGTCGTTGGCAAAAGGTCATTAATCTTTTGACTGATTGCAAGTATTTGCGTGTTGTTTCATCATTCATTATGTGGGCAACACTATTGGTGTAGATCTTCTCACGGGCTGAACGTTCATGGATGCCAACCATAGTGACACCAATTGGCCAGGGTGCATTACCAATAGCCAACTTAATGTAATGGTCCATTGCAGCCAGGTAGTCCCGTTTCATGCAGCACTCAACCACCACTAGTAATGCTTGACGGATATCATCTGGTAGAACCTGCCATTAGAATATAGCAAGTAAATAACGGATTTCATAAATGGAAAGTCTGTGCACGTGAACACACCCATATAGTGCACTGTCTTCGCTTTGATCAGAGAGAAGGAAACACTTATATTTGATAATTGAAATTCTAGGACATTCAAATTAAGTTTGTCAACTAAAAATGCAGCAATGGCCACCAACTATATTGGTTACCAAGCTACCAAAGGTGAATCTGCAGATTTAATCTGCCACACTCCGCCTTCCCTAGTTTTTTTCACACCTGGAGAGCAGATGACATAGAAAAATACAACAAATAAAGGGTTGGCTCTCCATTTAAATTTCTGATAGATTAAAAAGAAAAAAAATCCAAGTGTGTTGAAATAAAACAACTTCCCAACCATTAAACACAACATAAAAACCACAAGTAACTCTAATGCTTTGTGATAAAACCAATTTCACACAATTAAAAGGGAGGCAATAATGCATGTTCATAACATGAGCATCCATTCATATTTTAGAGTGATTTAACTTCATAACATCCAGCACCGGATAAGAGTCACGCTGATGAACAGTCATACTCAAGCAGTATGTTCTTCTGGAGCTTAAACCAGTTCGATTATGGAAGAAAAACTACAGGTTTACTAAGTGACTTCCATTTATTAGCAACGGGGATTTAGGGTGCAATCCATCAAGACAAAAGCTGCAGAACATGCTTTGACTTTAAATCAAACTCAAAGCAGGAAGTAAGAATAAAAGAAATGAAATATGGTTGACAATAAGAATAAAAGAAATGAAATATGGTTGACAAAACCTTGATAAAAGATAAATCTCCTATCTGATTTGAACACGAGGTTTACCATTGATTATCCATTTAACAAATATCACCTGAACAATTCTTCAAGTGGAATTAATGAACTGCTATTACTTATCTTGATGCTATTCGAAAATTATTAACCGCATTAACAGGTTCATAACCCTCTTAAGTATACTTGGATCCATATTCAACAAAATGACAACTTACAGATCATCAACAAGATTTGGTGTTGGTAGATTCAAATCTTTCGTTCTTCCAAGTCCCTTATCCCTAGCAGCTATTTTGAGTGTTCAAAGGGAACAAATCACCAAATAATGGATGAGAGAGTAACGTTAAAGAATAATGGTAAAGTAACTCTACCCGATTGTATATTAAGAAAAGACTTTGATGATCCTAAGAAGAATATGAGGGTGAATTTCATAACCCTTACAAATGTCAGCAAACATACCTATGCCAGTTACCACTTTGATAAAGGATCACTAGAATACCAACATGAAGATACCATGAATATAAGTGAAGGGGCAGTGCCATGAGGGTTCCAGTCATTAGTTACTTACTACATGCTCATCCATCTCTAGCACTGTAGATTCAGCAGACAGAACATCTAACAACGCTGACACAAAGTGATTTGTACCAGCAAATACAAGTTTTATACCTCCAATCTTGATCAAATAACTAGTTTTAATAATCTAAATCTCAGTGATTCCATTTGCATTTCAAGTAAAATTTCAATTCTTCAGTTAGAAATCCTATTCTATTGTCTAACTTGTTAACATATAGAAAAAAATAAAAATTAAAAGAAGAAAAGACCGGAATTCAAAAATGTATTCTTTCAAATCAGCAAAAACAACTTTACCTTCTTCCTACAAAACTTGAACAACGGGTATAAATAACGAGCGCACTGCTTAAACGTGGCGACCATCGACTTCCCTTTCGCCGTCCTCTTCTCAGCCTCACCCATCTCATCCAGCTCCTGGTTCCACTCACTCAACAACCTCCTGAAAAACACCAGAATCTTATCTTCATCACACAACTCATCGAAATTTGCCTTCATTCTTTTCAAATCCTTATCCATATCGACTCCACTGGACCCACCATCACCACTCAATTCCTCTTCACCTCCGCCTCCTTCTCCGTCCTCTCCTCCTCCCCCTTCTTCTCTATCCTTTCTCTTCCTATCGCTTAAAATCCCTGTCTTCTGCCGCTTCCGCAGCTCCGCAATGTCTCTCAAGAAATCGTTGGTTTGACCCTCGGTCATATCGCTATCGACCTCGAAAAGACCAGCTTTTAAGACGTATTTTAACCTCTCGAGACGAGCTGTATCGTCTTCGCCGAAGAGAGTTATGGGCTGTTTGAGGAAGCGAAGGCGGCGGATGACTTCTTGCCTAGGAAGGTCGAGGTTGTCGATGTTTCGTTCATCGGTGAGGGATTTGGAGGAACCGGCCGTAGAAGTTGCGGTCTTGGATGCGGAGCTGGAAGCGGAGGGGTTTGATTTGGCGGAAGCGGCGTTGGCGGCGGAGGTGAATGTGGTGGATTGGCGGCGCGATTTAGCTTCGATTTCGCGTTTTTCTTGCTCGCGAAGCTTTTGGATTTGCTTTTGTTCAATCTCGGAGCGTTTGAACACACGCTTGCCGCCGGTCTCCTGAGCTAGGCTCTGCCGCTTCTTGAGAAGTTCTTCTTTGAGAAGATCCATCTAGGGTTTGATTATGGTTATCTCCGAGCCTTGATATGACTTTCGACAAAGGTAAATGATATTGATGACGGTTACGGTGAATCGACGTGCGGCCGTTTTCTTACGGTTGTCGACCACCGGTCGATATTGAAATGGACCCGACTAGGCCCAAATTATCAATTCTAGAAAATGCGAACGAGATAAAGTTATTTGATTATCAAGTTCGAACAAAAAATGTAATATGAATGGGCCAGCCCAGTTAACTAAGGCCCAAGAATCTAAAGGACCTACTTAACTCCACTTACATCCGAACTGACCTTCGAAATTTGAAGTTTAAACCAATCACGGCGGCCCTACGTTTGATCAAGCTTCCAGTCCGGTAGCCTGAGACACGAGAGATGACGACGATACGCCGATTTTGCTGCAACGATCTTCTTCGTTTCGCTTCCGTCAATCTCGACCACTTAACGGAAACTGTAAGCTTTTTAACTCTTTTCCTTTTTTTTTTTGGGAAAAAAAGTTAAAAACAATGCTCGGACGAGTTGTAAATTGTTTCCGTTAATGGTAATTTTGTGATCATTACAGTTCAACATGTCATTCTACATGACCTATTTAGCTCGATGGCCCGATTATTTTCATGTAGCTGAAGGCCCTGGCAAACGAATAATGGGTTACAGTAAGCTCTCTGCCCCCTCTTTCCTATAAATATATATATATATATATATATATATATTCCATTTTTTTTGAATTAGATTATTAATCGGGAATTTCAACTCATAATTTTAAAAAAAGAATCGGGCTCAAATTCTGATGTTAATTGCCTTCCCTATTTAATTTATTACTATAAGCAATTGGAATTACAGATTTTCAGACGTTGGGTTGTGTTCAAGATTTCATTTGGACAGGGATATGCTTCTCTTATTGATTACGTTGTTTTGAGATTGTGTATCTAGATTTAATACCTTTGAAATTTGTTGTAGTAATGGGGAAAGTTGAGGGGCAAGGTGAGTATTGGCATGGCCATGTAACAGCAGTCACCGTAGCGCCAGAATATCGCAGGCAGCAGCTTGCTAAGAAACTGATGAAACTCTTGGAAGACATCAGTGATAAGATGTAAGAATGGTGTACATTTATTGTTCCATCGATTTTGGATATTTTTCTCTTTTGGATTTTCTCACAATTGATTTGAGTAACACTTGTGACTTGTCTGGAGTTGGGCAGTTAGCTCATGCATTTTAAGGGCTGATTACAAGGTTAGGGATTACAAGAGTATTAAGTTTTCTATTACTATTTTAAGGGCTGATTACAAGATTAGATATTACCAAAGTATTAAATTTTTTAATATTTGTTTATTAATCCTTTTAGAAATTTGCACCTTCCTTTACTTGTTGTTTAATGTGAACTGCTAAAATAGTTGTAGTGTCTGAACACACACTATAATTTTTGGTTGAAATGGGGAAGGCAAAGTACTGGCACAAGCACAGTCATAAGCTTCGTCTGATACTTGTGTCTAGAAAATCCTCCTTTGAAACTAACATGTATTTCATGTATTGAAAAGGATTTTGATTTTATTGTGGGTATTTTTTAAAAATCTTTTATACCTTGTGCTTTTCTAGATTTAAATTGACATTAATTAGGTTATGCTTGATAGGTTTTATCTTGCTAATAGTATTTTCCTGTAAGTTTTTGATGAAATTCTGACATGAGCCAGACTTATATATTATGCATGATTATTTTGTTTGTTTAGTACATGCTAGTGTTTTGAATTGAATAATTTCTCTCACCTTTCCTACCTGTAATTGAATCAAAGGATCCATCATTGTAATTAAGTAGTATGCCAAGTAATAATGTTTCCCTGATGCATTCTCTAGCTTTGTTTTTGGTGTTTTTATTCTTATCCTCTCTGCAGTCATCAGTAAAAAGCTTCTTTTGGCAGTGATAAGGCATTTTTTGTGGATCTTTTTGTGAGGGCTTCTAATACTCCAGCCATAAAGATGTATGAAAAGGTAATAGTTCTACAACTTTCCATATTTTTACAATATTATATCATTCTTGATATCCCTTAAGACTGTACTACATGGAACGCAATTTGAGATGTATGTTGTTGCTGTTATTCACATTTCTTCTGCTTTGCAATCACAGTTTTCCCTTGTCATTGAAAGGGTATCAAGTTTTTGGCGTGTAACCATCCTCAATCTGAAGTTTAAGGCTTTAGCCTTTACACACAGACACACACACACACACATACATATATATATATATATATATATATATATATATATGCACATACATGCATAAAGGCATTCCATTTGTTTTATGTTTGAATAAGAATTAAGAATTGCCTGTTACAGTAAGTGAAAAAGAAAAATAAAGCATGAGAAAGCTTGATTTAGTGAAGTTTGTAAAGCATGCCTAGCATGCCCATTGTGCATTACCATCTACTAGTGGGTAACAGTAAGTTGAATGCAGGATCTTGTTTTCTAATATTTGGTCTTTGTATGCATATGGGGATGAGTTTGGTTTTTGATGTTGCAAAGAGAGATGATCAAGTGTGTAGGATGAGCAATGTCCACCAATGAGTTTTAGAAAGTTTTGACATTTGGTTTAGAGTATAAAAGAGATTCTAATAAGATTCATAAATTATCTCCACTACTAATATTTTTAACAAATCTCAACTAGGGATGAATTCGCAATTAGAACTATAGATGGTTGTCCCATTATTAATGTTCTCTTCATCATGGTATGAGAGCTTGAATAAGAAAGATAGAAATAGGAAAAAAAGGAAACCAAGAACTTATGTCACGGGTCGAGACTTGAGCTCCGAACCCGCGCGGCTCCGGGACTCGGGCATTCATCCTTCCGGCATCTCGGATCAGCCTTCCTGCCACGGTTCACACCCTTGTGAGGTATTGTCCGCTCTGGCTCCCCCTGGCCTCACGGTTTTGTCCTACAAAAGGCGCCTCACAAGGCGGAGATGGTGTGAACCCTTTTATACCGCAGTGACCTTCCTATTATGTTCGATGTGGGATTCATGACTCTTTCTTAGGTTCGTGACACTTACACTAAGCTTATATATGTGTTTGAAAACATGCTTTATTTAAGTTCCTATAAAACCTTATATAATCAGAATTGGTTTTCGTGGTCTTTTGTATCAACAGATTTTCTTTAGTTTCAAGAATGGCAAGAATATTGTAATTCCATTAGGTCCAATCTTTCTTGTTTTGGTTTGTGACATTTTGATTAATTAAATGAATATTTAATTCAAACTTATCTTGTCATTATGATGAAGAAATGACCAAATTAATGAATATATGTAGTTAAATACAAAATTAGTACTGTTATAAGACATTGTCCCTGTCATAACGTATAAATCCATAGACCTACTGCGAGATATGAATAAGAGGAGTCGCTACTAATATTTTTTGTTTAGGTGTGATTGGTCACTTGGAACATGCTCTGATCTGCGAAAACAAATGTTAAGTTCAGGAGTTGGTTATGTATGAGGAAGGTTGTAGCACTCTTACAATGCTCATAGCACTCTTACAATGCTCACCCAATTGATGATACTAGTTTAATTTCAAATTATCCAAGCCTCGGTCATTTTTTATGATTTATCAAATAATTTAATATTGAAAATGTACCTTAAAATTGTCTCAGTAGTTTGATAGCAATTTAAGATAATTTTCTCACTCCAAGAATATTCATAGACACTAGTGTTCCATTCTGAAGAGGCTCCGTCGTAGAGTTCATTAAGGTATTTTATTCAATAAAGCCTCCAAATAGTTTGGTATGACTTAATTTAAAGCAATCCTCTAATAGTTTAAAAAATAAAAATTATTTTTTATTTTATTTTATTTTTTTGAAAATTAATTTATGAAATTTTCTAATAGTTTGGTGGATTCCACAAATTTATTTTGTAAAGATTTTTTTTTTGAAAAAGATTTTTTTATATCTTTTTTTATTTTTATTGAAAGGACTTTTGAAAATTTTTATTTGAGAAGATATTTTTATTTTTTGTTTGGAAAGATTTTTTATTGAATCATTTTTCTTTCTTTTTTTTCTTTCAGAAATAAAAATGGCAGAAATAATATTTTTTAAAAAAAAATTAGAAAAATAAATAAAAATGGATTAAAATATAAAATAAAATCAAAAAATAAAAATTAAATCAAAAAAGGAAAATTTGCGATCGAGTTTGGTTGGAGCGCGAGTCAACACGGGAGTCACTTGGTCAACACGTGGATCTTGGATTGTTCAAAATGACATTGTGCTGGGCTAGTAAAAAAGGCACCTTTTAGTGTTTTTTTTTTCAGAAATCCCAGAGCCTCTCTCTCTCTAGCCAAAAAACCTCTACCTTCTCTCTAAAAACATCCAAGAACAATGCCGAAAAGTTCAATTGAAAACTAAAAATCCCACCGGTTTCTAGAAATTTCACTGAAAAATTCAACCGAAAATTGAAAAATCCACTGGTTTCTGAAAAATGTGTTAGATTCTGAAAATCTTGTCGGAATCTCGTCGAAAACTTCAACCCTTTGCTGGAAAAATCACCGGAAAATTCAAATCTTCATTGGAAAACTCATCCAAACCTAGAAAACCCAGAAAAATCCCAGAAAACTCTAAATCCTTTCCAAAACTTTTTGCAACCTTAAATTTACCTCAAGAAACCTAAACTCACACCCAAAACTACGAATTAAACCATAAATCCTAACTTCCAAATTCTAGAAATTCTTATTGCCAAAATTTTTCTCTAACCCTTTTTCCTCAAAATTTTTCTATTTGTCCACCCTTTGTAGAGCCGATTGAATTTATAGGCAGCCTTAGGATTAGTTTTAGGAAACAAACAGAATTAATCCCAGGCTTGAATCCTGGGATTGCATTTTGTCTAGCGTGATTTTTAGTCCAGAATTTCAGCAATTGTATAAACTCTTTGACCGAAGAATTCTAATTCCGAATCCATTATTGTTCACGTGCAAATTGGATCGAAAAAAGGAAAGAAGAAAAGAAAGAAAAGGAACAGAAGAAAAAATAATAATAATAATATGATATAATAATGATAACAACAATGTAATATAATAATAATTCATAAAAAACTGTCTAATTGGGCCCTGACACAAATAGGTCTAATTGGGCTTGGACACAGATGGGCCTAATTGGGCTGGACACAAGTAGGCTTAATTGGGCCTGAACACAAATGGGTGTCGATAGTCCCCTCTTAAATCTCAAATAAGCTGGGTCTTGGTTTGTAGCATTAGCTTTTGGCTTTTCACTCCATATCTTTTGGAATTAAATTCTATCATTTTTGTCTAATTAAATTTGGTTTTATCTCCCAAACTATTTTTAGCTTTGGAGAAGGCATTGGAGGCCATATCAGTAGTTTTTGCTTCTTGATAATCTCAACAACCTCTATGCACACCAACCCAGTGCAAGCAATCTGTTTCATTCCTTAATATAATTTATTGCTAGCAAAGAGCTGCATCTGATATTGTAGAGGTTGAGTTCTGGATCTTACTGCTCTTGCTTTGGAATGGTTCTAAAAAATAAATAATTATTAGGAAGCTTTTGGTTGTTAGATTTTATTTTATTTTATTTATTTTGACTAGTAAGATTGCAAGTAGATTATCCAGGTTCTGAGGATGGCCTGCATTTCTAAGATTCTTTTCACATTAAATGCGTCAAAAAATAAGCCTTCATTATTTTCCCGAGTACTAGCCAAATAGATGTGGTATTAAAGGGCATCTTTACTCATTTCAGCCTGAGTTTTAACTTTATAGTTAATTTGTTGCCCCTTACAATTGATACCATAGATTATAAATATTTTGTGTATGTGCACACATATAGTCTATTTATATATGTGTACACACATACGCACATGCTACGAGGAGTTTCTATACTGTTTGGAACACAAATTTTTGCCTTTGTTTTAGTATTTGGTAATGTGACATCTGAGAAGCAACAATATGAAATGTATATTATTTGATGGAAGGTTCATGTGTTGTGATCTTAAGTAAAGAGTATATGATGAACTTTATTTGCATTTTCTGACATCTTCTATTTCTTTTTCATTCTGCAACTTTTTTTTTTCTCGAAACAAACGAAGGTAATAAAAGAAGAGTATTTATAAAGAATGTCATCAATCTCCAGTTCTCTCTTGTACTAATTTTGTTTCAAATCCGCAAATGTAATTATTGACACTTTTTGATCAATAATATCAGGAGGAATGAGAAGTATCGTCTTTAAGCTGTGAATTAAAATTAATTTGGATTGCTATTCTCTAATGATTAAAACTTTTCTATTTAACATTGTAATGAATACAGCCATATATACATTACTTAATACGTTCTCAAGTGAGCCCTCCACTCTGTTTCCATGTCTTTGATGTTAATTTGCATTTTTTTTTCAAAACAGTTGGCCCATGTCTTAGATGCCATGGAGGAGATATGTTTTTTCAAGTTAACCTTTGTACTTCGTATATTATTAAATAGTCTTTGCATTTTCTAAATTAAATTTGTGTTTGTTATCATTGGGTAATTTCCAGACTAGGATGCTGATTTTCTTTCTCATCAATAAGTCTTATCTCATCATAAGCCATATTTTGTTGTAACCACCACATGCTGAACAGTTTTTGTGCTGCTTAATAATTTATTGTATGGCAAGGTAACTGTTTTTCTGATAAGGGTTGAATTTGTAGAACTCCCTTTTCTTGAATTTAAAAATCTGTCCTGGCTTGTTAGACTTCGATTAAAATGTTGACTGTACTTAAACCTAGAAATTCTTTGGATTTTATATGTGCCTTCCCTTTAAGAAGGTAGTGGAAAGCAAGTGTTGGGTTGATAGTTTGAAGGGAACTCCTTACGTCAAACAGCTGCTGGGCAATTTTAATTGAAAAACTCATTCTTTTGTCAAAAAGTTATCCAAATTGTATTGAATTGGTAAAGGGGTGTTTGAATAGAAAGTCATTATCTCCTTTATTTAACTGCTATTATTTTTCATTACTCAGTCATAGTTACTTTCAGACCAGTTAGGGGCACTTAAAACGGAAAATGTAGTGGCAAATAGAATTACATATTTTCTGCATATGCCATAAAAATTTGCATTTGCTGAATGGTGCATACTTTATAACAAATGTCTCATTACTTCACCCTCTTTCTCATTTTCATTTCTCCTGTGTTTACTGTGATAGTATTGTGTGGTAGCATTATTGCTTGTTGATTCAGCTTGGCTGCTATGTTTATCATTCTCCCCAAGCATACTTAACTGTTTAACAGCCTAGTTATAAATCCGGACATGCTCATCGGAGGAGGAACTAGGGGACCATGTCTGAAAATTTGAACTTGCTGCAATGCTTCTACTGTTCCTTAGGATGATAGTGGCAGAAATGGAGAGGGTTCTTGAAATTGTGTACTTTGAAATATCAATTACTAGAACAAGTCCATTAAACCAGTTTGTTTGAAACGATGCTTCCAAAAGTGCCAGTATTCATGATGGTGCTCCCTCCCTCTCTCTGTCTCATGTCTGCATGTGTTTGTGTCTGTGAATACATGTGTAAATGCAAGCATGACTCACCTACCTTTTTCTTTTTGACAGCTTGGGTATGTTATATACAGAAGGGTGCTACGCTATTATTCTGGAGAGGAAGATGGGTTAGGTAAGTGGGTTTTGATGTCCAACCAGAACATTGCTTTTTTTTTTTTCCCTTTTTGGTCCGCATATACTGATCTTACCTTTCTTTTTATTGTTTGTTTTTAGATATGAGGAAAGCATTATCAAGAGATGTTGAAAAGAAATCAATCATCCCTCTCAAACGGCCAGTTACACCTGATGAATTGGAGTATGATTAGATCTGCTGTCTATGGAACTTCTCCCATCTTTTTGATGCCGATGCTTCAGAACATGTTCATATTTATATTGAAATGCAGAGATGGGAATCAGCGAGCTTTAGGTATGTCTAACATGAGGTCCAAGAACATATTCTTAGTAATGAATCATTCAGTCGTTCGCTATTCTGTATGTGGTCATGAGCGTCATCTTTCATTGTACCTTGTATTTTTGTAACTCTCTTACAATCTTATCCTTCTTTACAAATTACAATACATCCAATTTTCCTTTACCAAATACACTAGCTGCCATTTTCATGATTAAAAGGCGCCTGCTAAAGCTACTCTTTAAGCGAGCATATCAACCGATTATCACTTTGTGGAGGTTCAAGTGTGTTAATAACATTTTTATTACTATAGTTCCCTTTGGATGACCATATACTAATTTCTATGCACACTTGAGAGGGGTTGTTAGTTAATTGGGTAAAGGCTTATGAGCCCAAGTGTGGTCTGGCAGTATTGTGGGGTACTGGCGCACAGCCATGAAAGCATTGAACAATGTTTGTAGATCAACTATGCAAGCACTGCCCAACAGTGAGCCAGATGACTGTTTTTAGCAAGTAGAGCAACACTATATCATGAGTCAAAAAAATCCAATGCATCTCTTTGAAATCGATTGAGTGTATCACTACAAAATTTTCAAGCACAAAAGTTGTTTGTTTATTCTAGCAAGACTGGTAATAGTTGTCAAACATAGAAAAAGTTTGACAGGAGGAAAACTCATATAGCTTCCCTATATTTATCCAAGGGAAGTGTTTTTTTGTGGTCCAAATTGGGGCAACAATGATGGAGGCCCCAGGGCAGGATGCAGTTCGCCATAACTTTTTTTGTTCTCGGCGAGATGGATGCCGTCTCATCTGCATGGTCGCCGCTTGGACAACAAAGAAACAAGCAAGATCAGGGTGCTCACGTGCCATTGTCTGATTCAAGAGGGAAATATGAGCCAACTAGTCACCAAAGCAGCGGATGACAAATTGGTGGATCATTTATTAAAATGCGTTTTCGTCCAACCAGGGTTCATCTTACACATTTATGCTTTTGTATGGATTCTTGCCTTCATGTTGTCCTTGCTTTTTCCACCCATTGAAATTCTTATCTTTGTTTTCTAGCCAACATGGTCCTGGAGGAATAATTCCAACTTCAACTCCATATACTGTCAACCTCCCTTTGCCCTGGTGGTTTCTTTTCTCTTTTTCTTCATTCCAGAAAATGCCAAACAACGAAAGAGTTGATGATGCCAACTCTATCTGGTTCGTCTGCACGCCTAGTCGTAGACCTGCTTTAGGATCCTGATTCCTACATTTGATTTGTCCTTGGCCCTCCCATTAACAATACCAGGTGCTCTACTCCCTACAAATTATTAGAGTTGGATTCTCCTGTGGGGTTTGCAATCCCTTTGATTATCATGTGGTCCTGCTTCTATTTTGCGCCCCCCAAGTTGTTAACAAGTTTTTTTCAATCATATGGGAAAATGCGACACAATCTAAAATATGTGCAACATTTATATTTGCTTCATCTTAGCTACAGTGTTTCAATCCCGAATAAGTTGTTGAAGTACCCCTTTTTTTTTTTTTAAATCAAGTAACATGCAAAATAAATTTAAGTCTAAAAAGTCAAAATTACTCTATTGAGAATAAATGTGGGATTAGTTGCTAGATAAATGTTTAATCCAGCAATTTGCTTGAACTCAAGAGTTCTACAAGTTCAATCAACACCTTTTTGTTCAAGTGGCAGATAAAAGAAATACTACAAGTCTACATCTCAATACCGTCGGTGATAATGCACAAATGGAGGTAAGATAGAACTACTAATAGTATTTCCTATCTTTTTAAACACCTCAATCCAATATTTAAACTCCAATAAGATTTTAAGCTTTTACTTTCTAAACTCAGTGATATGATAATATGCTACAAATAAAGCTAGCATTACCAACAATTGAAGCTCACAATTTGTTTATACCATCATTATTTCCAACAACCTGAGTGACAAGAAATTGAAAACTCAAAGCACGTCTTTTCACATTGCAACCTCCAGACAAACCAAAATGTAGTATATTATAATTATTAAGGTTTCGTCTGGTTAATAATTTTACTTGTTATTTATAAACATGTGAAAAGTAATCAATGGTGGGGGATTCTGATTACTAATTCTAATTGGGATGTCAAACTCTTTTGGATGTGGGATTTTTTTAATTTCCACATCATGTTGAAAGGAGCACCAACCTTATCATGTGTTCATATCTGATGCTGTCTGCCATCTTTGGAGGAGGAATTATATTTATCAAACAATGCTCCAAAGAGGTGAAACAATTTATCGTGGTTAACTAGATGTATCCACTATCTAAATTTGTGCAAATCTCTTGTTGTTTTCTTGTGTACTTGTCAACTGGTCATTTTGAAAGCCATCAGTAAAAAGTTGTGCTCCTTTGTCAACTAAGCATAAATATCTTGGTTCCTAGGAACAACGATTTGGGTTTCTTTGTCTTGAGCATTATTTTCAAAGGTAAATTTGAATTTCCATTTTCATGAGCTTGGAGTTGGATTAATTGCAAGTACCAATGGGAATAGCATGTGTTTTTTTGTCTCAAAATTGTGGTCTTGATCTCAAAGCTAGCTAGATAGGATATCAGAAGACCATGTTTGGATTAATATCTCTTTTATCCTTATTCATCCTGGAACTATATCAGAAAGTTAGATTTTGGGGTTGGAGGGATGGACATTTAAACATGCTTTATTTGGCAAATTAATGGATTACCAGTACCAATATTAATTATTGAAATCAGATTTATCTTTTTAGAATTTTATAATCACATATGTTGATCAAATTTTCATTTTGGGTATTGTCATTTCATTTATCACACTGTATGACAGGGTAAGTTGAATGATTTAAACTTTATTGTAATCTAATTAAAATGACCAGATATTTTTGTATAATTCGACAAACCATGGATCTTGTCAAAGATATATCTGTGAGCCATTGCTTTTATCATTGTCTATTTGTTTTACTTCAAAAACTAAAAGATATTTTGTTTCATTTTTCTGTGGCCTTGAAATAAGATCTAATTGATAATTTTTTTTCCAGCTTTCTTTACATATCAAGAATGATCACATCAACCTTAAACGAAGGATTTGATCAGCGTACTTTCTCAAAGAGAACTTTAGAAATGTGAAATGTGATCGTCTCTAAGTCACAGTGTGCAGCATAGTAAAAACTGCGTGCCACTGTAAGAAATGTTTGCTTGAATTCTGAGTTGATGTCGTCTGAGGAATTTTGAAGTACTAATTGAACAAGTTCTTGCATGGCGGACTCTATTTTCTGGGTTCTGGTGTGCTCTGTGTCAGCATTATAGCAGCCATTTTCATGCACCTGAAACAGTTAACAACAAAAATGATGAGTAATTGTTACTATTAAATGCACGAAACCATTTAACTTTACATGGATAAAAACGAAAATGCAGGCAGGACTCGAAAGAAATTGACAGATAAATGGATACTAGCCTTGTAGTAGAATAGTATAAAAGTAGAAGGAAGATGATGAAAGAGTGCAGCCAAAACAATCAGAAAGATTCCAGAGAGAAGAATCTGTTGTAGCTAGGGTACAATATTTCTTGGTTTCACGCAACTGACCTTTTGCTTTTGGTAGTGACAAAGCTGATGACAAACTCTATTGGTGACGTTGGAGAGTAGCTCGTATTGGGGATGAGACAACAGCTCCTCCAAAGACCAACGGCCAGAAATAAGATTTATCGTTTGCACCACTAATTCTGCTGCTCCTTGGTGCCTACCACCTTCCTCTAGCCACATCAGCATCCACTTTTCCCACTGTTTTCCCTCTCAGAAGAGAAAAAAAAAAAAAAAACAATGAAATTTAGAAAGCAACAAATTAACTAACACATTGGAATGACTTTCTTGGTAGTTTCTGACACCAGGTAGCTCTACGATTGACTCGCGGGGCATCGAACTAGCTCTAGGGACAATTTTATTTACTCAAAGATTTACTGTTTGCATGTGAGATTTACTACGTCTAGTACATATAACGACAGATAATGTGAAAAAAAAAATTGTAACTAGGAATGTCATCCATGTATCAAAAGTCTCCATGGATTTGGGTTAAGATTGAAATTTGGAATAGGATAGATAGGATAAAATGATTACTTACAGCACGGCGTATGCTGCAACTAATGTCTCGACCATGAGCCACAAGTGCGTCCAATGATAGGTGGTTCAAGGTCAGAAGCAAGGTACCTATCAGCTTCTGTATTGTCGTGTTTGAGTCCAACTTCCTGCCACAAAATCCACATGTAAACATCACTTTCTTTGTCAGCCATTATTGGAAACAACAGATTGTCCGTGCCTCTACATCAATGGCTTTCGTTAAAGTACATAATTTTTTTGTTGATATTATTACATTACAGATTTTACTTACAAAACACTTGTGGACATACTCCAAAATTTTGTTCTTATTTTATCATGATATTTTTTATTTCATATAATGGTATTTTTTTTTACATATAATATCACGTCATACTTTTGCAATTAATCTTGATTTTTTCTTACCTTTTTTTTAAAGATTTAGAGTAGTGTAACAATGGAAGTAATTTACCTACCTTCCGTTAATGTAGCTAAATCGTGCATCAACCACACTTCGGAACATTTGGACGAATTCTTTTCTTAGCTCATTAGGTTTCTTTGAATTGTCAAAAGAAGAGGCGATGGTCTCAACCAAGAAGGCAGTCTTAGCCCACGCCAGCCGCTCTTGCGACCTTTCTGGTTCGAATATGCTAGCTGCCGCCATAAAATAAGTTAAGAGAAGAGATCTTCGGCTCACCCCATAATCACCAAGACTCATTTCCGAGTACCACCTGCTCAACTCACATATTCCACAACTCATTACTAATCATACATGACTATATATGATCTTATTATTAATTACTGTCACTACTAAAAAAATTGATTTTATCTATGAAATTTTTCATCAATAATAATAACAACAATGAATTTAGTGATAAAATTTTTTATCTATAATAATTAAGTCAATAATACTATTCCACCGGTTTGATGCTAATTTTTTTTAGATGGATTAAAATCATAAT